AATGTGCCACGCTCAAATAGACTCTTGGCAATGCCCTGTTCAAATATACTGTTGGCAGGGCCCGACGCAAAAGCACCTTGGCAATGCCACGGTGCACACTCAAACAGACGGATGGCAATGCCAGACGGATAAACCCTGCACGCGATACTGTCCGTAAGTCCGATCGCAGCCACAAAGCAGTACAAAGCATGAGTGATAATCGTTTCAAGCGTAATTAAATTTTTGTTTCACATATACCGCGACATTTATCAAGACATATACATAGGCAACAGACAAAAACTGGTTGAAAAAATATAGTTATAGGCGTATGTAAAGAGAGAGACACATAGAGAGAGAGAGAGAGAGAGGGAGGCGTTTTATATAGGAATATTTCTAGTAGGCACAAACGATCATACCTCTCGATTTCCGCTATCCTGGCAAGCAAATTACAACAAATTTCATTTTGTGTTTGCGCGGTATTCGATCAAAAACAAACAAGCATTAAAATTGTAAGTATACAGGTTGTTTGATTCAAAAAACACAAGATCCGGGAACAGAAAAAAGGAATGTGTGTGTGTAATTTTGCAAATTAAAGAATAAAGATATATAGATATGGGGAGGGGCGATATATAGGGTTAGAGCTTGGCTTTATACAACTACAGCTAGTAGGCCGCGCGACGGGCCACAAAACGATTCGACGCCAGCCCGTTTAGGGTGTTTATTTTCGAGCGCCACAAAAACAATTCATAAATAAAACAAAAGAGGAAAAAGAATACGACAAAAAACGTAATACGAGTCATATGGAAGGTACCACGAGCAGCAGCTGCAGCATTAGTAGTAGTAGTAGTATTAGGAGATGTAGCCTCTGCTTTGGGTCGGGCGGGGACACACATTATTCCTGGGGCACACCTGGGGCTTACCTTCTTGAAGTGCATTAGCGTGTCGGAGCTGTTCTCGCACATTTCCGTGATGAGCGTTACGCCAGTGATCAAAATGCCTGCAAAACAGGGGAGGGGGGATGGTTAACATTGAGGGTACGGGATATGTTTGGTTTGGGGACTTCACCATGATTCTTCTCGCTGAGCAGTGAACGCGTCGCCGGCAGGAATATCTCCATCAGCTCGGGCACCCGACGAATCACACGAAAGGCGCACAGCGTTGCCTTCTTTCGGATGTACGTATTCGGGGATTTCATCAGACGCTCCACTTCGCTGGCCAGATCTCGTGCCATCTCTGGCGAGGCAATGGCACCCAATGTGCACAGCGCCAGGCCGACCACAAACTGTGTCGAGCTGTTCAAATCACTGAAAGATATGGGGATTAAAATGATTTCGAACGTTTCAGATCTTCTGGATTTACTTCTTCAAACAATTCGTGATCAGCAGGTGTACATCTTGCCGCTCATCCAGCAGCAGCATGGCCCCCAGATAACCGATCCGCTTGTCTGTAAATCGCGTGCTGGCCGTCAGCTTAAGGCACTCCAGTTGTCCAAAGTGAGCCGGATAGCCGAGCATGTGTATGTACAGCAGCTTGGCAATGTTGCGACAGCTGCAAGTGCACAACGAAAGCAGTTATTAGCCGGTACGCAATTATGTATCATACTATATGTGAGGGGCAGACCTACCGCCAGACAGAGTCCTCTTCCCGGAATGTGCTCCGTATGTAGGCGCACTCTTTGTTGACAACGGCACGCTCCTCGGCCGCAGTGCGGGCGGCGCGAATCTGTCGGATGAGATCGCGCAGGCGTGTGGGCGTGGGCATTCTGACTGTGTGTGCGTGTGGGAGGTTGGATGATCAAGATAATTAATCGAATGCACTCCTCGTCCTCGTACTCGTACTCGTTCTCTTCACTTACCTCTCTCAACCGCCTCTGTAAATGCCTGCCGTATGGTGGCCATATTGAAGGCTGGATTGAATCTGTTTTTGGGGCGACAGAGGGATAGAGAATGGGATGTTAGAGAGAGGAGTAAGAGGTAACTGAAGCCGGTTGTGTAGGCCTACCCATGCTCGGAATTCATTGTGGAGGCAAAAACGTTGAATCACTTTTGGAGCTTTTTGCAGCAGCTTGCCTGCTCTCACGCTCTTTCTCTCTGTTGGGCCCCGCTGCACTTTCTGCTGACGCTGGCAGGCGCTCTCTTTTGATGTTGTTTGTTGTTGTTTCTTTGCTTTTGCTGTTTTTGCTGCTTTTGCCGGCCTACGCGTTTATGTACGCGTTATTGTCTGCTGGACTGTGTGGGCGGCCGTTTGGGCGTGTCGGCGAGGAGGCTGCGGCCGCGACAGCAACAATAACAACAATTTCTATGTGCAGATCTTCACGCGACTCACACAACAGTACACACATATGTCCATGCATACACAAGAAACAGCCGGCCGCTATTCCGTTATACTTTTGTTTCGCTCTCTTTGCTCTTCTGCTATAATGGGCAGCACACTCTGGTTACTCACTCGCTCGCTCGATCTTCTTCGCTCTTCACCCGTGTTACTAATCTACTGGAAAAGACCACTGGGTAAATGAGTGCGAGCAGTAGCAATTACTGCTGACGGCGTAGATCAACGGTTGTTATGAAACTTGACATCTCTCATACGCGCGCGGGTGCGTGTACTTCTCTCTGTGCTCGTGTGTGTGTGTGTGTGTTCGCTCAAACAAATGTACACATGATCTGGCCAAAGCAAAACAAGCAACATGAAATAGTAGAACTACCCTTCCCTCGATCTAGGGCTATCAGGTGTTAGCTCGGTTGAGAAGACACAATAGTCGAACGGACGGGGGGAATGCAAATTGATTAAGTGATTAATGCCTGAAACCGCACTTGAAGCATTGACACCAATACGCACGCACACTGTCGCACACAGGGGAAAAACACTTGCATATGCAAACTAAATTCCAATTGGAATGCTCGGAAAACCGCACACAGAACACAAAGGATGTACAAAATGTGGAACTAAACACAGAGATCTGTGCTTTTAATGGTTATCATTCGACTCGATCTACTTTTTGTCAAAACTAATGAATGGCCAGAAACCCATACAAATGGCCAAAACAGCTGCCGTCATCGATAGCAACACCAACATAAATATATCGATTGACAGAGAAATTAATAAGTCACTGAAGGCAGATTTGTATACTATATGCGAATAGTTAACGAATTTTAACACGTATTGTTTGAGTAGACTTTGAGTTTTCTCTTGTTTTCTTTCCGTTTTTCCCTTGCTAATTTATGCCGTTCATTGGAAAGCCAACACACAGATACAACCACCACACATGCACACGCACACATGCATTCAGGCCCTATGGCTTAGCGTATGCTCCTTTTTAGAGAAGAAAATCCGTCACTTTGGTCGGTTGAATGCATTTAAGCTACTATTTAACACTTTGGAGACTATGTGCGCTCTTATTGGCTAAGCCTCATTCTGTTTCATTTAGTGTTAGGTTAACCACCTGCCCTCCGCCTCCGCGTCGACCAACTTCCAATGCGAAATTTTACAACGCGACAAAAAATTTCAACAAAAGGGGACACGACACACTGGTGGCTTTTTATTGGCTGGAATGATTTCAATTTAGCGACAACTAGGTGGGCTACGCTCAACACATGTTCTCACTGCATTAGATTATGCTATATTTTAATTTTAATGCCACAAAATCAACGTAACAAGTAAAAAAAATGTTCGTAGAGAATATGTTGATGATGAGCGCAACAGTAGTAGTGAGAGCGAGTGAGAGGGCAATATTTACAAGCAGCGCCAAAATACACTATCGCATTGATCCAAAAATACCCTAATTGGCTGAAACTAAACTCGAATGCATTCTAATTATACCTCGATATTAATGAAATAGAGTGAAATTAATATTAAATTGCAAGTCAAGAGCATTAAATTCCGAGTAACTCAACGTTTTGCTCAACAATATACCAATATATACTAAAATATATCCATGAGCGCGAACAATGTGCATACGGTCACACTGATCACCCATAACGTAATTTTTGAAAATCGAACATCATTTCCGAATATCCCTGTTCTTACCTGCGATTGTTTTCCGGTGGCAGCACGCTCCAATCCTGCTCATAATAGGGATACATGACTCGGCGTGCTCTGAGATCTGTTTCTTTCGGGGGAGTAGCAGTAGTTGTTGGGGGTCTGGGATTGGGAGTAGCAGGCAGGAAGCATTAACTAACTTGCACACACAACACAACACACGTACGTATAAACTGTCGCCGCACACTCTGTGCTCCAGTGACACTGGAATAATGATAAGCACGCCCTACTACAGTGCTCCACATAGGCGCACACACTGTCCGTGTTATCTAATGTACATTAACAGGTAATTCCGTACGCTCTTTTCTTTTATATATATATGTACATTGATATATGAGTAAGTATATTCTGATGCTCTTGCTCTTTATTCGGTTGCTGCTCGTGTTAGCCACAGAGTCAGTGAAGGTTTAAGGCACTACTAGTTTAGGGGGATAACATTTCATTATTTTGTTGGAATATCTAACGTTGTAAACGGAATGAAAAAAACGGACTGGCCCGACCCGATGAAACTCCTGCAAAAGACTGAAATGGACTGCCTCATGGGGATTGGGCCCAGCATGAGCCTGGGCCCCAGCCCCCCTCCTCGACTGCAAGTGTTTGCAGTATTATATTGGTGGCACAGTCCGATAGAGGTGAAAACTACACACACTTATCTATTGGGAGCTGATAACACCACGCCGTGAGAACATATAACAATCTGCGTTGGGTGTTTTTTTTTCTTTCTCTTTTGGATAAGCAAAGTCGTCATTGACAACCACCATTGAGGGACTGGAACATACACATACGTCTGGACACAGCGAGCGCGGAAGATAAAGAATTCAAAGCAGGGGCAGACTAGCGCTTGGGTTTTTGGAGCATTTATAACAACATTATCTACAGCGCAGTTGGCCCCACACCACACCACACCGCATTACACCACACACTATCCCGCCTACACGTAACCTCTGTACTTTTGGCCTTAAATATTAGACTATACAAACGTTAAAGCTATAACTATCTAAGGCTGCTGCCCGGCTATTGCATCCGGCGTGTTTCGTTGCATCTTTCAATCGTTCTCTCGCGGCGGCCGTACTAAAGCATGCCGCTTGATGGCCTCCACTAGCCATTTGATGCCCTCGTCCACACCCTCACCGGTTAGGGCTGAGACGGGTATGGTGAGGCAGTCACGGCGACCGATTAGGGCCCCCGCCTGCTGGAAGACTGGCTTAATCTCGCGCACGCCCATCACATCGGGCAGATCCTGCTTGTTAGCCAGTATGAGCAGTGGCACGCCCGAGAGCAGCTCATTTTTGATCATTTTATCTGTTTGTGAGAGAGGGATCATATTTGGAAACGGATATTTAGATCGGATCTAGGGACATACCAAAAATGACCTTTGACTCGTCCATGCGCTCCCGGTCATTCGAGTCTATCACATAGATGACGCCGTGCGACTCTTGATAGTATTTGTCCCACAGCGATTGCAGCTCTTGCTGGCCGCCCAGGTCCCAGAAGTTCAGCCGCACACCCTGCACATCGATGGTGCCGATGTTAAGGCCAACTGTCGTTGTGATTTTCGTTGGATTGAGGCCCTTGTAGTTCTTTGTGAACTTGGTTTTGGCCGCCTCCAGGTACGTCTGTTGCATAGAAGAAGTTCATTTTGTAGGGACAGTTTTGCAGACGTGTCTGTCATTCTGTGTATGACGGCTGAGTGACATACCGTTTTGCCAGCATTGTCCAGGCCGAGGATCACAACACAGTACTCATCCTTTTGTGTGAAGTATTTGTAAAAGCCGTGTAGGAGTGTGTACATGGTAAATTGTTCTATTTATTTATTGTTGTTAACTTTGATTTTGTTGTCTCTGTCGTCACAGCTGCCTGCCTCTGTCGCACCTCTCTGCCGCTATTAACATAGTCGATAGTATCGATTAAATTTTTAGGCAACTTTAAGTGCGACAACCCTAAGCTTCTACATATGCTTTTAAAGTTGTTTTTCTTCACTGCTATCTCTTTTTTCACTTGCATCGAACTTGAAATCCGGTGCGGTGGCTGTTCAAAGTGCATAATTAATGCAATATAGGGGCAATGCCAGGTTCTTGCCCTCCCGCTGCTTGATTGCGCGTAATTTGCTAATTGTCGCTGCTGCTGCTGTCACAAGCCGCTCAGCCTTCGCCTCGACCACAACGTGCAAGCGGATCTTGTATTCCCCAACCAGAATGACAGACCGGCAGACTTGTGATTCATCATCGTACAAAGCCGGCAGCAGTTCGGTGGCCTTTGTGACCACTCCGGACAGGGAGTCTGCCAAGAAATTGGCTCACGGCATCATTGACCGTAAAATAGCCGCCTGTGTCAACATTATACCAAAAATCGAGTCCATCTACATGTGGGAGGGCAAAGTCACCGAGGACGATGAGTATCTGATGATGATCAAGACGCGCACCGAGCGCATCGACGAGCTGAGCAAGTTCGTCCGCGAGAATCATCCCCACAGCGTCGCCGAGGTGATCTCCATTCCCATAGAAAATGGCAATTTGCCGTATTTGAATTGGATTGTACAGACAGTGCCGGAGCTGGAGAAGAAGAAAGACTAAAATATACCCAAACATAAAAATGTAATAAATATAATTCGAATAAAATAACCATCTCATCTGAAATATTCTTTTGAAAATTTTGCAAAAACAATTTGCAGCCATTTATGCATGGTGCAGCCAGATGGGGTATCAGGGTATCGATAAAAATGCGGCTACTATCGATACATCCATGTCTCGTACGCTGGCAACTCTACTCAACTGGCTGTGAGAAAGTGTGTGTGTGCGTGTTTTTTTTTCTCCCAATATCTTTAATTTTGTGCCACAAGAATTAATCGCAACGCAAAAGCGTTATCAGCAATAAGGAATACGCAAAGAAATCAAAGTAATGTCGCTGTCGAGTCTGCTGCCCACGCCGACCAATGCGGTTTGGGACCGCGAGGACGAGCGTCGCCTGGCAGCCAAGGGTGCTCCGCAAATCGGAGCCCTGGTCTCCGCCAAAATCGCAGCTCCCCCTTATGGCTGTCGCAAGGATTGGGTGCCCCGCACAGAGGCTGACTTTGGCGATGGTGGCGCATTCCCCGAAATTCATGTAGCACAATATCCACTGGGTGAGTTCTGGCGCTGACTCCACGCTTTCTCCAGTGCATTTTTCATTGTTGGTTTTTTTTGTTTTGTGCCGTTTTCTTAGGTCTTGGTGCCCCAGGGACTATGGGCAAGAAGTCCGATGCTTTGGCTGTACGGTTGGATGACAAAGGCAAAATAAAATACGATGCGATAGCACGACAGGGACATGGCAAGGACAAAGTCGTCTACTCTTCCATCTCGCAGCTGCTGCCCGCCGAGGTGCTGGCCGAGGATGCCGACGAGCTGCAGCGTCCCGATGAGGAGAGCGTAGCCGAGACAACTGAGGAGACCCGCCTGGCCCTGGAGAAGTTGACCAACCAAAAGATAACCTCAGCACTGCCCGTCCGTCATGCCCAGAAGGCGGGACCAGCCCAATACATTCGCTATACACCGTCCCAGCAGGGCGATGCCTTCAATTCGGGGGCCAAGCAGCGTGTCATCCGGATGGTGGAGGCTCAGCTGGATCCGATGGAGCCGCCCAAGTTTCGCATCAATAAGAAAATCCCGCGAGGTCCGCCGTCGCCGCCGGCTCCAGTCCTGCACTCGCCGTCGCGCAAAGTCACGGTCAAGGAACAGAAGGAATGGAAAATCCCGCCCTGCATATCCAACTGGAAGAACGCCAAAGGTGAGCATCCATATTCAAACCCCCCATTCTGAGTGAAAACTAACGAAACTCTGCTTTAGGCTACACCATTCCGCTGGACAAGCGTTTGGCTGCCGATGGTCGGGGCCTGCAGCAGGTTCACATCAATGAGAAGTTCGCCAAGATGGCTGAGGCCCTGTACATAGCCGATCGCAAGGCCCGCGAGGCGGTGGAGGCACGCGCACAGCTGGAGAAGAAGCTGGCCCAAAAGGAGAAAGAGAAGAAGGAGGACATGCTGCGGATGATGGCCCAGCGGGCGCGTGAAGAGCGTGCTGGCCTGCGAAACCCGGAAACAGCTAGCGATCCCATCGGAGGTGGAGCCAATGGGGTGGAGGCTCGCGAGCGCAACGATCTGCGAGCCGAGCGACAAAGGGAGCGACAACGTGATAGAAATCTGCAGCGTGCAGCGCCCGAGAAGCGGTCAAAGCTGCAGAAGGAGCGAGAGAGGGACATTTCCGAACAGATAGCCCTGGGCCTGCCCGCCAAGAGTGCCGGCAATGGCGAAACCCTCTTCGATCAGCGTCTCTTCAACACCACCAAAGGCATGGACTCGGGCTACGGCGACGATGAGGCCTACAACGTGTACGACAAGCCATGGCGCGACGCCAACACCCTGGGTAACCACATCTACAGGCCCAGCAAGCAGGCGGACAGCGACAATTACGGCGGTGACTTGGATGCCATTGTGAATACCAAACGATTTGTCCCGGACAAGCAATTCTCAGGGGCATCACGTGAAACGGCCGGTGCCGTGCGCAGCGGGCCCGTCGAATTCGAGAAGGAGGAGGATCCTTTCGGTCTCGATCAATTCTTAAACATGGCCAAGAAGGCGCCCAAACGTGCCGAGGAGAAGAGCGAGCGCAACAGCCAATCGGAACGCAAGCGCAGTCGTCGCGACTAGACGTACAGCTGCATTAATAATAACCATCATCATTGATCATCATCCTCATAATTGATAATCGACATACACTTTGTGCAAATTGAATAATAATCACTCGATACTGACAAGAAAACAAGTCTCGACTTTAGCACGCGGGTACCATCTCTACTATCTATTTAATTGAACTTTTGTTGATCCATTTATGATATTAAGCAATGGGTGACTGCCTTTCGTATCCTCCAAAACCTTGATAACGTATTCAAATTTTAATTATTGAATTTTCGTCACCCCCAAATGCCGGACGAGGCTCAAGGAACGATCTGTTGAGTACCCCTCTGACAATTGAAACGACAGAAGCTAAAGGTTAAACGTGGTTTGCTGCTTTAAGAGCAGGCCATGCCCTCTTTTGCGAGAAGATGTGGGAAGATGAAGCAGGTCTGTGCTTTCTTTCACAGAAATTAGCAAAGCTCCCGATAGAGATGCAGAATGGGAATGGAGTACGAGCTACAGATGGAGCAGACAAATCTCAAAGCTGTAATTGAAGCTCGCTATCAAGATGGAATTCAAAATGTTCTTGTTGATACTTTTTCCGATAGGTATTTTTACTGGTATTTTCTAGTTACTATTCATCGCTACTTAGCGTTATCCTGAACAGAAGTTCTGTTGGTATTTTCTAGTCGGCACACACCGTTCAACGATCTGCAATATCGATCTGGAAAAGGCAATATTTTTATTGTTTATTTGTAGTATTTTTTAAAAGCGATATGCGATATTAATTGCCGCCCGTTTTCCTTTTAACCGTATTTTATAATCAAACACAATAAAAAAGTACTTAAAATTGGATAATCTTGTAGAAAACTGCTCAGTCTATCGGATCAGTGCAGAGGACCCTATCTAGATTTGAATACTAAACCGATATTCGACCATGAAAGAACGATTAGTAGTTCTATTTTTTTTTGTTCGCTCATGAACGACCCATTACGATCTGCTCTGGTCACACTGCATGACATTGAGTTGACTTTTGGTTTGCTTTTTTTAATTACAATACATTTTATTTGCAAAGAACGGACAGAACATACATTGATATTGATTGTGGCATCTCGCGTTACTTCACATACGACTTCTCATCGAGAATGAGCTGGAGTGCAAGTGCTGACGACTTTTCTAGCGGGTTCTAGAGGTTGAGGAAGCAGCGCGTGCAGTGGTCAGGACGGTCGGTCATCCTCTGCCTCTGTGTGAGGCACCTCTCACGGCCGTGAGACAACAATTGCATGCGTGCGTGCCTGCGCCACAGACAGACCACAACAAACGATTATAAATTATGTAAGTGATCATGTCAAGAGCAGCAGCACCCAACACACATTTGACGTGCTCTTTTTACATGTAGTTTAGTGACAACAGCACACACATATCCGAGATGCGTTCGCGTAGCAATTCGGGCGTCCGCTTGGACTACTATCAGCGGATTGTTCACCGTCTGATATTGGCGCACCAGGAGCCGGTGACCGGCCTGTTTCCTGCCTCCAATGTCAATTCGCACGCATGGATTCGCGACAATGTGTACTGCATCCTGGCCGTTTGGGGCCTGTCGATGGCCTACAAGAAGATCGCCGACCAGGACGAGGATCGTGCCAAATGCTATGAGCTGGAGCAAAGCTGTGTGAAGCTAATGCGCGGCCTGCTCATGGCCATGATGAATCAAAAAGACAAGGTCGAAAAGTTCAAGATGACCCAGAGCCCGTGCGACTCTCTGCATGCCAAGTACTCCAGCAAGAATGGCCTGCCCGTGGTCGGGGATAACGAGTGGGGTCATCTGCAGATCGATGCCGTATCCCTATATCTCCTGATCCTGGCCCAAATGACAGCCTCCGGCCTGCAGATTGTCTTCACCCTGGACGAAGTCTCGTTCATACAGAATCTGGTCTTTTACATTGAGTCGGCCTACTCCATACCCGACTATGGCATCTGGGAGCGTGGCGACAAGACAAATCATGGTGGGTATTCTCTCTCCTCCCCCTCCCTTTTGGTGTTCAATTCTACTCAAAATTCGATCTTTCAGGTGAGCCGGAACTGAATGCCAGCTCCATTGGCATGGCCAAGGCCGCCTTGGAGGCCATGAACGAGTTGGATTTGTTTGGTGCACGCGGCGGTCCGGCCAGCGTCATTCATGTGCTGGCCGACGAAGCCCACAAATGCCAGGCCGTCCTGCAGTCGATGCTGCCACGTGAATCGAACAGCAAGGAGCTGGACTCGGGCCTCCTCTGTGTGATTGGCTTTCCCGCGTTCGCCGTGGACGATGCCCAGCTGATACACAACACCAAAGACGCGATTCTGTCCCGCCTTCAGGGCAAATACGGTTGCAAGCGTTTCCTGCGCGATGGCTATCGCACACCGAAAGAGGATCCCTCCAGGCTCTACTACGAGCGATGGGAGCTGCGCATGTTCGAGAACATCGAATGCGAATGGCCGCTCTTCTTCTGCTACCTCATCCTGTTCCATGCATTTCAAAACGACAAGCGCTCGGTGCAGGAGTATGCCGATCGTTTGGAAAAGATAATGGTCCGTTCAGAGGATGGCACACTGCTGGTGCCCGAAAGCTATGCTGTGCGCCAGGATCTGGTTGGACAAGAGTATCAAAAGCCCGGCTCACAGATACGCGAAGTTGTGGGCCGTTGCCCCTTCCTTTGGGGTCAATCGCTGTTCATTTTGGGCCGCCTACTGCAGGAGGTAAGTACATACATACATTTATATAATGGAGCCATTCTGGAGTTAAAAACTCTTTCATTTCGATTTCCCTTAAGGGTTTCCTGGCTGTGGGTGAATTGGACCCATTGAATCGTCGCCTGGGTGCCCAAAAGAAACCCGATGTGGTCGTCCAAGTGGTGATCATTGCCGAGGACAATGAGATACGCGACAAGCTGGCCGAGCATGATCTGCACGTCCAGACCATAGCCGAGGTGGCGCCCATTGAGGTGCAGCCGGCCCGTGTCCTTAGCCACCTGTACACGTATCTGGGGCGCAACCGCAAGCTGGGCCTCAGTGGCCGCAAGTCCCGGGATGTGGGCATACTCAGCACCAGCAAGCTCTACTCTCTAAAGGATCGTATATTTGCCTTCACGCCGCAGGTGAGTCCACAGCTTTGATCGTTTAATCGGAATCCCTGCTCCCAGCTCCCAGCTCCAAGTTCCCAGCTCCCAGTACCCAGTACCTCTCTTTCCTCCTCTGTTTGCTCTGTTTAAGCTCTGTTCTAAGTATTATTTATTTTGATTTTGATTTTTTATTTGAAAACTATTTACTTTATATCATTATTATATTATCGTATGATGTGCATCAGTTTGCCGACTTGTCGCGCTTCTATATAGCCTCCGATAACGAACTCATGATCGACATCCTTAAGGGCGAAATCAATTTTCTCAAGTCCGCTTGGGATCTGCTGGGCCGGCCACTGGTCACCCTAGTGCTGAAGCGCATCCACTTAGGTCGGTTCCAAACACAGAACAAAACAAATATTGTTTCTGTTTTCTGTTTCTTCTTCATCAAATTATTCTGTATTTTAATTTTCTTTAATTGTTGTTTCATTTATTATGTAACTCTCTCTCTCTCTTTGTGTATGGTTCTACTCTCCCTACTATCTATTTTATCTGCTACTCTTTTATCTGTTTTTATTATTACGTTTTCTTTTTTTTTTTTAATTGAAATTTATTTGCAAGGGTTTGCGTTTGGTATCTTTCTGTATTGTTTATAAATTAATTGACACACATGCACACAAACACACACACACACACACAAATACGCACTTGAATTTATTTATTTATTAGAGAACCATTTATGATATATGATTCCACTCGATTGCCCCAATGACCGCAGCAAGTGCCTTCGTTTGCTCTCATCAAATGGCATTGATTGTCAAATGGGGGTTCAAATGTACCCGACTTCCAGTATCGTATGCTCGTATGTATGGTTCAATAGGTCCCCGCGATTCAATACAGAAAATACGCAAACTTTTTATACCCGATACTCAAAATGAGTATTGGGGTATATTAGATTTGTGGTAAAAGTGTATGTGTGTAACGTCCAGAAGGAATCGTTTCCGACCCTATAAAGTATATATATTCTTGATCAGCATCAATAGCCGAGTCGATTGAGCCCTGTCTGTCTGTCCGTCCGTCCGTCTGTCCGTCTGTCCGTCTGTCCGTCCCCTTCAGCGCCTAATGCTCAAAGACTATAAGAGCTAGAGCAACGATGTTTTGGATCCAGACTTCTGTGATATGTCACTGCTCCAAAAATATTTCAAAACTTTGCCCCGCCCACTTCCGCCCCCACAAAGTGCGAAAATCTGTGGCATCCACAATTTCGACGATACGAGAAAACTAAAAACGCAGAATCGTAGAAGATGACTATATCTTCTAGAGTGCAAAATCTGAACCAGATCGTATAATTATTACAGCCAGAATCACGAAAACAATTTCACTCTTTCTCGCTCTGTCTCACTCTAACACACAGGTTTCATGGTCGGTTTTGCCAATTGCAAAATATGAGTTCAAGGATCTCAGAACCTATAAAAGCCAGAGCAACCAAATTTGGTATCCACACTCCTGTGATATCGGACCTTGACCGTTTCCTGTCCAAATTTCGCCACACCCCCTTCCGCCCCCGCAAAGGACGAAAATCTGAGGCAACCACAAATCTCAGAGACTATTAAGGCTAGAGTAACCAAATTTGGTACACACACTCCTTTAAGATGTCACTATAAAACGTATATCTCAGAATTTCGCCCCACCCCCATCCGCCCCCACAAAGGACGAAAATCTGTTGCATCCACAATATTGCAGATTTGAGAAAACTAAAAACGCAGAATCATAGATAATGACCATATCTATTAGATTGCTGAATCTGGATCAGATCAGATCATTTTTATAGCCAAAAGGAACAAATCAATTTGCAGTGGCTACGCAGCGCCCGACGTCACGCTCAGACTGATTTTCTGTCTCTCTCGCACGCACTCTTTGTCGTGTCGTTAAATATTAGCGGCGTCTGCCGGAGGAGAGCCATACTGACTTAGTATCGGGTATAACCGTAGAGTTGCGGTGTCCGCAGCAACTCACAACGTTCCCCCTCGTTTATTGTTAAAACTTATACTGAATCTTAAGTAGTCCTTGGATGCGGCAGTCATGATTTATGTATATTAAGAGATCTCAAAAATAAGTAAAATATAATGCATTCATATACGGCATTCATATGTATAATTTCCAATAAAGACCCCCCCGTATTGGCTTGCATACGTAAGAATTCGGCAAACAGCGACCACACTCACCCATTCACTCCGTGCCTCTGCGTTCAAATGTAGTGCGTACGAGTCTTAATTAAATTAAAGTAATTTGCAATCAGTTGTGCTTTTGCGACTAATCGGGGACTTATTGAACCAAGTGACATAGATTATCAATCGATTATACTAGCTTTAATTTGTATTTTACTTAAGTTCTTGGTTATGGCAGAACCTATCATACTATTATAATTTGTGTACATACATAATTACATCTTTGTAATGGATTTTTCTTAGCTTTTAGTTGACATTTCCATTTGCTCCGATTGATCTTTCCTCTTCCCTCTTGAGTTGTATCCTCTTTGATCCCTTCCTTGAAAATTGGCCACAGAAAATCTATAAAAAAAAAAAAACACAATCAAAATACCTTTTTCTTGTTTATTTTATACGAAATGCAACCAACCAACCAACCAACAAAACAAACACTGAAAACAAACAAAAACAATCAATCAATCAATCAACAATAAAACACTTACACAGCATATCGACTATGAAGAATACTATACAACACGCGATCCCGATTTGCTTGCCAGCAATTTTACCACAAATTTAGCATTCTTGACCAACAATTGGCGTCACATGTTGGGCAGGCCGACAATCACACTAATGGCAACCCACTATATGCTAGGTAATTACTATTCCAAACCAAAAACCACAAAAAAACCCAAATCTGCATCCCCCCCCTCCAAAAAAAAAAAAACAAAACCCATATATTCCTGCAACACTGCCCCCCCCCTCACACACACACAAACACACACACACACACAAGAAAACCAACAACAAATTGATATCCAACTCCCGTATTAATGGATCCTGTGATCTATGTATGATCTCTTTGCTTGTGTCTGCAATTAGCATTTCCTCTAGCTTTCTACTACTCCCCTTTAAGCTGCCTCTAAACTCTCCTGTAACCCATGTAAATATATGCAAATTTGTATGAACATTTATGGCTACTCTTTCCTATGTGTGCTCTCTATAGACCCTGTTCTGTGGTGGCTTTGTACTTGGTTTTAGTTTACACCGCACCTATGCATCCCCTACACTTGACATAGAAATGCCACAGTTCTATTTCCTTCACCGTTCGTTTATGGGAAATTTAAACATTCGCATCAAAAGTGGAATGTGCCCCCAGTGGAACCAGAGGTATAATGGATCTCCCGTTTCAAAGATTTGAAGAACGCCTAAATTTAGAATGAAAAAACACCCACGGATCTGTGCCAGAGTTCCATTACGATCACGCGTGAATGGCATTCGCTTATGGGAAATTTAAGCAGCAATTCAATGGCATTCGTATCGACCTTTTTATACCATCTACATATAGATGTGCTATTAACCAGAGATCACAAGCCAGAGTCAGATACACTTTTTGTCGTGAGATATCCTAGAAACGGGTAAACTTTTATTAAATTTAACAACAAAAAGAATATATTCTAACTCGAACAGTGATATGTATTTGTGATCTTTAAAGAGTTTCAAAACACCTAAGTCTGAGACCATCAGTCAGTTCTTAACGAACTGGCTGATAATGCTTTCAGATGTCAGGTATTTGCTATATGTCCTTTCAGAACATACCAAACGAAAAGTATTGAAGTGCACCGGGCCAAATATATATATCACTTTTCGATATAACACATTTTTTTGTATTCATTTTGATTGTATGATTAGTATTATAGAAATTTTAGTCCCTACGATGCCTGGTTCAAACAAAATCTAAAATTATAATGGTATTTATACCATAATAGATATTTTTGAGATCTAAAAGCACTCTCTTCTATCGCATTTGTTTAAAAATTGAGATTGGAATTTCTGTAATCTTAAGACAAAAATGTTTGAAAAATGTTTTCCTTTGAAATATGGTTTCAATCCAAATTTGGCACCAAAAGAATCTTGAAATTTTTGCCCCTCCTTCTGCTTGTGACGCGTCTCGTATTTTTTTTTATTTTTTGTATTTTTTTTGTTTGCTTCATCCACCCACCAATGCTCACGAAATTCTATATATTCTGTGTATCTATTATCCAAACTTCCTTGGTGTGGCGGCAATGGCTGTGGCTAAACTTGTTCCTAGTTCCTAATGTTCCTAGTTAGTATTTTCGTTTCGCTTGGTTTGATTTGCGCACTCGACTAATCCCCGAAACCCCCTGAAGGTGCTGGAATTTTTGATAAGGATATGATCCATGCTATATATCGGTTATTGTTGTATTTATTGTGTGACTAAACCATAGCTATAAGAAACAGCGCCCTAATAACCAACAGCAACCACAAAACACCATTCCATTCCACTCCGTTCAATCAATCAAAAAAACATGAGCCGCATCCATATCGAAAATTTTGAAACAGCGCATTGAAGCAGAAGTTTAGCTAAAATTTTTGTATCAATAACCGATCCAGACCAGGACAAGATACCGCTGGCCATGATCCAAACGATGAGGAAACTCAAGTCTGGCTACATCAACGGCACCCGCGTGATGTTGGGCAGCCTGAAGGACTTTCTGAACACGTCGGCCATCACGGACTTGAGTTTTCTGGGCAGCACCGAGGACGGTTATCCGGATCGTCTGCATTCCGATGTGCAGACGTATTTGGACGAGCACCTGCTGCGGTCCTTCAGCAATCGCAGTACCATGAACCTACGCGGCGGACAGCTAAGGCCACGAACTCTACGCCGTCGCATGTCCTGCAAGGGAGCCATCAAGAAGACACGCTCCATAAATGTGGACTGTAAGTCTTTTCTTTTCCACATACATATATATGTACATATATACATGGCTATATTTTGTTTTGTTTTGCAGCCGATAACCTGGGAATGGAGGGACCCGCACCCCTCACCGAACGACGGCTGTCGTCGGTGGTCCCGCCGCCCTGGCTCCAGCCCAACAAGCAGAGCCATGTCTCAGTGTTCGCCACCACGCCCGAGGAGGGGCCCAGCACCCCGAGTCTCCATCTGGGCAACGAGCTGGTCATACGCGAGAATATCTATCCCGTGGATCCCCACGGATCGAACCGCACGACCATCGATAGACGCAGCGAGTTTGTTCGCCAGCACGAGAGTTAGTTTCCCGCCCCTCCCCCCTGCATACCATTCGTATTAATTTTTTAATTCGAATTTAGTCTCTTAATTTGATATATTTACGTTCTCTTTTCATTTGTGTCGTTGCAATATGATTTCTTTGGGGATTTGGTTCTGGAAAATATTGTAAATAATGCATAATAGTAACGGTGCCAAAAATTCTCATCCAACGCCATCGGGCGGAAACCAATTTTGCGGACACAGAGGTGGAGGAGCTGATTGCCATGTTGCGCGAGACGGAGAATCTCGAGGAGCAGGGCGACATACTGCAGTTCCTGGTCGATACCCAGGGCCTGGACTTTAATACGGGTGAGTGCGAGTGCCAGAGAGTGCCAAGGACAGCCGTAATATGCGGTTTAGATCCGCTTAAAGCTTTTATACTCTTATGTTTTGCTGGGCGGCGGGAGGTTCAGTACAGATAGGACACGGAACACATACACTTTAAGGCACACGCAAAACGCTCACACATGCCAAGCATACACGCCCAAAAACACGACAAGCATAAGCACACACACACACAAATCCAGTAATACATACAACACCACACATTTATCGGTCTGTCTGTTTCTGTTCCACATAATCTGCTCCTTCGGTTGGGGTACCTCCAGTTCCGTTAGCCATGGATAGCCTTTGAACACTTGTCTTAGCATAAGTCTGATCCATGGGATTGGTGGCATCTAAACCTGACATTCAATTATTTTATATATGCGTCTATTGTTCTCATTGTTCCCTGTGGTACTTATGCTCCCACATTCTTGTACTTGTCTCGTGCATCGTTCCGTACCAACCGTTCTTCGTCCTCTTCTGTGTGGTCTACAACAGCTGGCCTGGGATTCAAGAATAAATCGGATGATAGTGCCTCTGCCGCTGCCGGAGCTGGAGGTAAGTTGGCTGCTCGATCCCAGATAGATGTCCATAGATGGTTGTAGATCGTTGCTACTGTTGATGGTCTGGTCGTTGTTTGTAAGATCATCCAAATGGGGCTTTTAATCACGTAAGGATGCCCAGACTGTCCTTTCCACTCCCTTTCCAACTTCCACTCTCCTACGATTTGTGTTTATAACCAGAGATTGTCAGATGATTCCTTAAGTTTTCTGTTTAAGTACTCGCATTTTTGTATCCCTTCTATTTGTATTCCTTTAACTTTCTTGTAGCTATTACCCCCTCCTTTGTCCAGATAATTCCTATAACTTGTTCTTTCTGCTAACTGTTTAGCCTTTTCCTCGACTATTGTATCCCCTTTGCCATCCTTCCTCTTGTGACCCAGAGATTGGCAGAAACCTTTTTTCTTCTTTCCGTTTAACCATTTCCCTCTCTCTTTGTATATATTTTTGTGTGATTTGTGTGTCAATTGTTTCATAAAAATCGCTTTGTAATATATACCAAATATTTAGTATAATTTTTCAACGCTTTCTGCTTTAAGTTATGGCTTTATTCGTTTATCTTTTGATGAATGCTTGCTAAAGTAAATTTTTGTATTTCTTTTACATTTTATTTTATATTCTGCGCCACACATCACGAAACAAACAAACAAATAAACATACACACGACACGCACACATTCCACGCATGTTCTCTCTGTGTGCCCCATGGCCCATGCCGCATGTTGCATTAACCGAAAACCAAAAACCAACCAACATCCAACCGATTCTTCCCATACTATATGTTTCCTCACGCAACCCGAAACTAACCCAATCCAAAAAACAAAAAAAAAACCAAAAAATAACCAACTAAAAGAGCTCGAGCAAGCATTCGTGGACGAGGTGGTGCTCGGACTGGCTGCTAGTGCTGCAGGTGGTGGTGGGACAGGTGCTGGTGGTGGTGCGGTTGCTTCTTCTTCGGGGGACGGGCGCGAGGTCAACGCTAAGCCTGAGTCAGCGGCAGCTGCTACACACACAGTGCTGCCCACAGTGATCATCGATGATGCTGGTGCTTCAATTACAGCCAACCCGAAGGCCGCCACGGATAAGGCCAATGCCACCTCGACACCCAAAACGACGTCGACTCCTGGAGGCGCCACCGCTGCCACCGCCAATAGCAGCAGCAGCAGCAGCAACACCAACAGCCACAACATCAGCAGCAGCAGCAACAGCAACAGCAACAACAGCAGCCTGAATCTGAATGCGAATCCGTCTAACAACGATTCTTCTCACTCTGAAGGAATGCTGGAGGAGGGACGCGTTGTGACCGTTCGAGACCTGCTCAAGGGCCTCTACGAGAAGGCCTGCCAGCAGAAGCTCTGGGGACTGGTGCGCCACACGGCCGGGATGCTGGGCAAACGGGTGGAGGATCTGGCTAAGGCCGTCACCGATTTGCTGGTGCGCCAGAAGCAGGTCACCGTGGGCATGCCGCCGAACAATGAGCACACCATTACGGCCCCCTTGCCCGAAGGAGAGCTGCGTCAACTGATACACGATGTGAGTGCCCAAGGACAGATGCCTTTGTCCCCCAATATTAATGTGTGTTGGGTGTGGGTTTTGTTTGTTGCCAGGCCTATGGAGACGATGAGAGCACATCAATGCTCACCCAGGAGCTGATGGTCTACCTGGCCATGTTCATACGCACCGAGCCGCAGTTGTTCCACGAAATGCTGCGTCTGCGCGTTGGCCTGATCATTCAGGTGATGGCCAAAGAGCTGTCGCGCACTTTGAACTGTGACGGTGAGGCGGCATCGGAGCATTTACTTAACCTCTCGCCCTTCGAAATGAAGAATCTCCTCTACCACATACTCAGCGGCAAGGAGTTTGCTGTCAGCAGTGGTACGTCCGGCCCATCCATTATGCGTTATTTTCTCCTTCATTTTTCGAGTGTTTCCCATTTGCAGTGGCACGTGGCAATCTGTCGATTGTCAGCTGCAAGAGCAGTCGCGTCAGCAAGAAGAGCCAGATCGGTCTGGGCGATCCAGAGGGCGAGGATGCCCTGCTTGCCACCATCGATGATCGGCAGGGCCAGTGGCTGCGTCGCCGTCGCCTTGATGGCGCCCTTAATCGTGTGCCGCGTGATTTTTACTCGCGCGTCTGGACAGTGCTGGAGAAGTGTCAGGGCCTGGCCATCGAGGGACGGGTGCTGCAGCAGAGCCTCACCCAGGAGATGACGCCCGGCGAGCTGAAGTTTGCTCTCGAAGTGGAGACGGCCCTCAATCAGATACCACAGCCCGAGTACCGGCAACTGGTGGTCGAAGCCCTAATGGTGCTCACCCTGGTCACCGAGCACAATATGGTGCCCTCACTGGGGGGCATCATTTACGTGGAGCATCTGGTGCACAAGGCCAATCAGTTGTTCCTCGAGGATCAGCGCAAGGTGCAGGGCGATGCCACACTGTGTTGTGCCAAGATCAAGGATGGAAAGGAGCAGCAGCAGGCTGCTTCAGGGATGTTACTCTGCGGCGGTGCGGCCTATATTTGTCAGCATCTGTACGACAGGTAACGACAATCAGGATCCCCATAATCAGCCTCAAAGCTAACTCTCTCCCTCTCTTTCTTTTTCATGGTGTGTGCTGACCTTCCGCAGTGCTCCCAGTGGCAGCTATGGAACCATGACCTACTTGTCGCGTGCCGTGGCTCTCGTACTGGACTGTGTGCCCAAGCACGGCGAAATGGAGTGCGCCATCTCCTAAGGATCCGCAGAGGAAGGGATCTGCGCCCACTTAATGCCAATTTTTGCAACTTTGGAAACGTCCTCTATCTCAGTCACTCTCTCTCTCTCTCTTTCTCTACCGTTTTCTCTGTGTATGTCTAGCCCCCCCACCCCCCTGTCTTGTGTGTGTATTAAACCCAACGATAATTTTAGTCCAGAGGCCGATTGTATATATTTTAAAGACCTCTAACCATCCCCCTTTTTTTGAGATAATTTCGTTTGTGCGTGTTTTTGTGTTTGTTTTAACCCAAAAATTCAAAAAAAAAATCGCTTAAAACGAGTTGTATAACTTTAAGACCCTAATGACTCGTATTCCCATTCAAAGTCTTATCCGTTATGGATATTATAATGCATAAGCCATTAAAAAAACAACACCCCAAGCCGCTGCCGCTACAGATTTGTGTGTTTGTACGGACGCGCGAAACGACGAAACTTTTTCTAATTGTTGAAACTTTTCATTTTGAAAAATGCTCCAACGCCCCCATACCCCCACATTTTATACGTTTGGATTGTAATGAATGAACGCGAAAGATTTACAATAAAAATGTGTGTTTGCAATGTTTATGTGATGTTTGTTTTGACTTCTTGCCGAGCCAAGATCTGTCGAGCCGCTCCCATTGCTACGAGAATTATTCAACGACACGCGACACCAGCCAGAGCATACAAAAACAAAATAAATTGCGTGAGTCTTTGCAACTTGGCGACCGTGACTCGAGGCCTAAGATAGGCTAAGGATGGAAAGCAATATTAGTGTCTGGAAAATGCATATATCGTTTGATTAGCTGCAACTTATATTTCAAGGAGTCCCTTACCCTTTTCATGCACTAGACCCATGACAATCTACTGGGCATATGTTCAGGGGAGAAACCTTTTAAGCTTTCAAAAAACAATTGTAAGAGTATGAAATTTGGTTTTACTAGCTTTTATAGTCTCTGAGATCGAGGCGCTTATCGGGATGGACGCACAGACAGATATGTATATCGACTCGACTATTGATGCTAAGGATATATATACTTTAAGGGGTCCGAAATGCTTCCCTCTGGTTGCACCCGATACTCAAAATGAGCATAGGGGTATACTAGGTTTGTGCTGAAAATGGATGTGTGTAACGTCCAGAACCCAGAATCGTTTCCGATCCCATTAAGTATATATATTCTTGATCAGCATCAATAGCCAAGTGCATTGAGCCATGTTTGTCTGTCCTTCCCTATCAGCGCCTAGTGCTAAAAGAGTATATGAGCTAGAGCAACGACATCTTATATCCGAACTTCTGTGATATGTCTCTGTTACAAGTATATTTCAAAACTTCGCCCCGCCCACTTCCGTCCCCGCAAAGGACGAGTGACCGGGTACACAAGTAGAACCGCGGCCTTTGCCGCAACTCTCAACGGTACCGCTCGTTTTTGTTTGTATTTTGGCACTGTAGATACAAATGATTACAATGCCCAAGGTCATCTCACCTCGGTTTTTATTTTGTGGGCATATGGCAGATTCTGAAAGATCTTTTAAAAGATCTGATAAGACAGGACTACAATCCAATTATACCCGGTAGTCCCATTTCTGTTAAATGAATATTGATAATAAATCTTAGTCTATTGATTTTGATCCATTGCAGCAACAGGAATGTGGATGCCAGATGCCAAATCGACGCTGGAGCTAATCCATTGGACATGGCATGGGGCTGGGGTGCTGACACCTGACGCTGGTGCTGTCTTTAACGCGACAAAGGAGGCAGCCGAGTCCGCGTCCAATAAACGTTACCATGCAGAAATTCAATGCGGACGCAATTATGTTCTAATTTAGATTTCACTTGTTATGGCGGGGGGGACTGGCCCGTAAGCCGTAAACCCGTTTCGGGCCTCCCCCAAACACAGAACTGGCCTATAAAACGATCGAGCTAATTGCGAAACAACATCAGTCACTGACAAACCGACAAACCCAAACACATAAACATGAAGTTCCTCATTTGCCTGGCTCTCTGCTCTATCGCCTGCGCACAGGCTGGCTTCCTGGCTTCGCCGGTCACCACATATGCTGCTGTTCCATCGTATGCTGCTGCCACATATGCTGCTGTTCCATCGTATGCTGCCACATATGCCGCTGCTCGTGTGCGATATACGGCTCCAGTGACCACATATGCTGCAGCTGCTGTTCCTGCTTACACATCCTATGCCGCAGCTGCTCCTGCCTATACCGCCTACGCAGCTCCGGCCATTGTTAGCCCCTTCCTGAAGAAGAAGTAAACACGCACACTTCTTTTTGCATACGTTTCGGTCCATTCAAACCCTATGAAAACTTAATAAATATTCAATATGAAGCGTATATGGCATTTCATTCTTAGAAAAGTAGAACTCTCAAGGATCTCCAGGTAGGGTACTCCTCAACACTTGCCTCCTCACAGGATTTGGGATATAACTGAGGACCGTTGCCACTGCTGTTCCCGTCTGTTGTCGCTGATTTGCGGCGCTTCTTATATTGCATGTCTGTATTATGCATCTCTATACGAGCCTTCAAATCTGTAAAAATATACACTACACAATTTTCTTTTAGTTTTGTTAAGCATATAAATATTATCATTTTATTTTCATTCTTTGTGGTCGGTCTTCCTCTTTGTGTGTTTAGTGTGGAATTCGCTTCGATGCACATCAAATGTTTACAAAAATTGTATTCATTTACAAGTCTGTGGTGTTGTTTTTTTGTTTTTTGTTGTTGTAAGTAGTGTAGTGTCTAGACATTTTTGAAATGCTTATATTTGTTCGCTCTCCTTTGTCCTACGATCCTTCTGTTTCAGCCAGAGTCTGCCGTTTTTGAAAGCTGGGCTTTTAGTTTGTTGTTTGACAATAATTAAAGGGTGAGACTTCGACGAGAGCAGTACGCGTGTAAATGAAAAAAGTGCTTTGCGAGAGGGGGTGTATGTGTTGCGTGCTTGTGTTTTTGTGTAAGAAATTATTGGGTTTTTTATAAACCAAAAAGACGTAAAAATGTTAAACGAAGGTGGGGAAAGGGGTGTTTTAAAAAAAAACATATGATCCTAGAACAAGAGAATACTTAAGAGTAGTCTAGCAGTAGCCACGATCGGGCACACGACGGCGTGGCGCACACTTGATGATGTTGTCCACTCGCAGTATCATTTCGGCAGCCTCCGAGGCAGACATGAGCACCTGTCGCTTGACGGCAAACGACTCGGTGATGCCCAACTCCCGTACATTGGCCACCTTGCCCTCGTCCATGTTCAGGCCCAACTGGTTCTTGCCCTGGGCATGACCCGCGCGGAGCTCAGAGACCAGCTGAGCGGAATCGTAGCCAGCATTATCGGCAATGGCAGTGGGCAGCGACAGCAGAGCTCCTAGAAAAGAAAAGCAATCAATATCTATGCTAATCATTTCGAAAGAGTTCTAGGGACACTTACGTCCAAAGGCCTCAATGGCAATGGCTTCCTTGCCGGAGGTCAGAGCGGCCTTCTTGAACACAGCATTAGCCATGAGGGCCTCTGAGCAGCCGCCACCGTAAATGATGCGCGACTCCTTAACTGTGGCAGCCAGCACACAGAGAGCATCGTGCAGCGAACGATCGGCCTCATCCAGAATCTGTTGGGTGGCACCGCGGATGACAATCGTGCAGGCCTCGCCCAGCTTAACGCCGCTGAAACGCAACAGTGTGTCTTCACCGATCATGATCTGTTCGATCACATCGCACTCGCCCAGCTTCACGAGCGACGGATTCTCAAAGGTGGAGGCAATCTCACCGCCAGTGCAGTAGGCCAGACGCTCGATGCCATCAAAATCGGCATGTTCGATGGCCATCACCTTGGCATCGGCGAAGAGCTGTTCGGGATAGTTGTAGATCAGCTGACGATTGATGAACACATTGCATTTGTGCTTGAGAATCTTGTTGACTTTCTCCTTCATCTTCTCCTTTTCGGCCATCTCCAGGTCGGCGATTTTGGCCAACGAATCGACCTTAATGCTGCTGCCGAACACCTTGATCTTGTCCGTGTCCATGGGCGTATTAGCAATGAGAATTTTGGCATTTTCAATCTAAAGAGAGGTAGAGAGGGAACAATGCTAAAATATAAACAACAATTCGGAATCAAAACACTACTACACGCGGTTTTCAACGGCATTCTATTCGCACTTTTGAAATAATTGAATTTTTGTTTTCATTTATGGTTTCTTTGCAAAGTCACGCGCGTTCGTTTCGATTGTACAACACTGGAAAAGCTCCACTCTGCCATTGATGGAGTGGGACTGCACATCAAACTCGTCAAAATGGCTGTGATATGAGATCAAAAACACATAGCTCACAGTCATTTTGACGCGTAAATGTGCAGCAGCAGTAGCAGCAGAATGAGAGCAGCATGGTTGGGTGGAGGTACAGGGGTTTCATTTATACTTACGCGCTGTGGCTGATGTACACCTGGCTTCTTGTCCAGCAGGAAACCATCATCCAGGAACGAATCACCCAAAGTGCCGCCAGACTTCTTTATTATCTGTATAGACTTGAGCTCGCCGGAGCCCTTCAGACGGAGGACAGCCTCAACGGCGAGATTCGCAAAGAACTCCTTGTGCTGGTGCAGGATCTTGGAGGACAGTGTGGTACGGGCAATGTTAAGTAGATCTGCCTTGAATGTCTCATCGTTGGCAGAGTTGTCCTGGGCAACGGCAGTCAGGGCATCGAGGGCCACTTGGGTGGCCATGCGCCAGCCGGAGACAATGATCTGTGGGTGGAGCTTCTGTTCGACCAGCTTCTCGGCCTCGCGCAACAGCTCGGAGGCCAGTACAGTGACCGAGGTGGTGCCATCGCCAACCTCTTCGTCTTGCACACGCGACATGTCGACCAGAATCTTTGCTGCTGGATTGTCAACGCCCACAGCACGCAATATGGTGGCACCATCATTGGTCACCTCCACCTGGCCGGCATTACGGCCGTTGGCCACCAGGATTTTATCCATACCCTTGGGCCCCAGTGTGCTCTTCACCAGATCGCCGATAGCAATGGCGCCAATGAACGAGGAGAGACGAGCCATTTCGGCCTTCTCCTCCTGCGCCTCATTCTTGAGCACGCGCACGGGATTTAGAGACATCTCCTGTGTACGGGAAAAGTAAACATTTGTTGTTGAGTGTCTCAGCTAAATTCGTTCTCCCGTCTCATCGCCTCGACCTAACCCCTAAAATGGCGAGAGAGCGGCGAGTGATTCATCGCTCGAACATCTACAAAACGGCGTGGATTGCATCTAGAAAGTTCCACTCTTGCTCATTTTGTAATAATTGCATCACATTTTAAAGAAAATCATTGTCATTCCGACAATATTAAGACCATTCTGGAAGGTAACGCGCTCGCTCACGTGCGGAGCGGCCGCCTGTCAAAATGGCTTGGGCTTGTGGGAAGCTCGAGTCATGTTCGGGCCACACACCCGGCAAATGAAAACGCCTAATTGTATGGAATTATCAATGAAAACTAACAAACTATACTCTCAAATTATCACTTGCACTGTAAACAATTAAATAAATATATCTGTTTCATTTCAATTTACCATTTTCTATGTTTAATTAATAAGTTTTGATCACAGAATTCACGAATACCAACACGGCGCAACAAAGGAAAATGGCGGAATCGGTGTGACCGCAGACTTATCGATAACATTTGAAATATACCGAAACATACGTCTCATTTAAAAAATATACCGTAAATATACTGACGCATTCAAGTTATATTTTACATATTCCTCGTTTTTGATATTCCGACGAATATTATTACCTATATAGAACATTTAGCCGTGTCCACATAATTTTAGCCCATTGATGAATCAACTTTCTATTTAACTGGAGTATTCTTAATACTTGCTTTTATTGCATTTTGCGTAAAAAGAGGTTTTAGCGAAATAAGTAAGTCAATCAAAACGGAATCGGTGTGACCGCAGACTTATCGATAACATTTGAAATATACCGAAACATACCGTCTTACTTTAAAAATATACCGTAAATATACTGAGTCAAGTTATAATATTCCTCGTTTTTTATATTCCGACGAATATTACTAGTTATATAGAACATTTAGCCATGCCCACATAATTTTGTACGATTGATAAATCAAATCTATACATGATTGGCCTATTCGAAATACTTGCTTTTATTGGATTTCTATATAAAATTGAAAATTAAATTAATAGATTGAAGAAAATGGACAAAAATACCATGGGAGCGCGGCGAAAACCAGTATTTCTGCAGTATGACCCTCAGAACAGCACCGAAATATACGGTCTCATTTGAAAAATATACCGAGTGGTGCGCGCGAAATCGAACTTTTTTGAATGTGAGCGACAAGGATTTAAATGTTGTCAACCGGGCCTTTATCTATGCCCACATAATTTGATACGATTAATTAATCAATTTTCTACTTGATTGGCTTAATTTAAATAATTGCTTTTATTGGATTTCTATACAATGTTGAAAATTAAATTTAATAGATTGATGAAACTGACAATATACAATTATATACCGATATACCATAAATATCCATACCGGTTCAATTTTTACCTAAAAAAATTCCAAAAAGTATTAAAAATACCGTTAACGGTCGCCTGGTCTAGTGTGACCTAGATGTGGAGAACTATCGAGACACCATCAATTTATCGATATACATATTTTTTGTTGATAATATATTTGTAGAGCTGCCAACTTGCTGGTAGATTTTGATAATAATTAGTAACAGCTCTGCCGGGTGTCATGGCAGACAGCTATTGGCCTTGCACTTTCGAATAGTGTCGATATTTGTATCGATTGTGGGCGCGAAGTTTGAATTGGTTGTTACTCCATAATTGTGGAACATTGTTGTCTTCTGCTGACCAGAATGCCCTTAAACACAAATGCAAAAAGTTTTAATATTAATTGTGGTCAGCGCGGTTGGGCTTGTTGCTTATCATTAAAAGTTTCTTGGGCAACAATGGAAATTATTTTTACATCAGCCGCATGCGATAAGGACCGGTCGCGGACGGACCCCCCACCGCGGCTCTTGAAACTATAGTAAACTTGGGTTAAGTTGTGTAAAGTTAAGCACGAGTAATGCGGGGCTGGCGATAATCTCAAGTTTGCAATTGCACTGGCAATTTGTTTGTTATCTTGCTTTCATACATACACTGCTCTCTCTAACGCTCTCCCTCACTCTCTCCCCCTCTCTCTCTCTCTCTACCTCTCTCTGTGGAGTTCTTGCGGGAAAGTTTTCCCTCAGCATGAGCTATGTATTTGCATAGGCATAGGGCACAGGGATGGATCGCGACGGTCGGCTGGTCGGTTGGGTGGGGGGTGTCGATATGAGTGGAAATTGCGTTGGCCTTCCATTTGGCATGCACTCATTTGGGTTATCTGCTCGGGCACTTAATAAACTTCACTTAATGACTCTCGAAACATTCGCCTTGGAATCGCTTTGCTTGAAAATTCGCCTAAAAGCTCTCTCTCTCTCTCTGTCTCGCTCGACTCCCCTCCGCAGATGATAAGCTCAGTCCATCTCTTCCTCTCTCCAGGACGCATTTGGAGCCTTGGCGCCTAGATTTTACTTTGGGCAGCCACGTTGTCATTGGCAGCAGCGGAAGCAGCGAAAGGGCAGGGGGTAAGGGAGGAGGTAAGGGGCACTTTGAAGCCGCCAAAAAGAGGAAAACGAGAAATCCGCGTAAAAGCGCTTCAAAGGTTTTCGGGTCGACTGCATCAAAGTTATAATTAGTTGGGGGTTAGGTTTTTGGGCTACGTAGCTGCTCCACCAAGAACGTGGCACGCATGCTCTGGTGCGGTGCGGCGCGGCAAGTGTAATCCGCAATTAGGCTTCACCGAAAAAAATTCCTACACAGTTTTTGTTTCTTGTCGAAAAAAACACAGTAAGAAAGCTGGCTGCCCGGCTATGCTTCGATTTTTAAATTCCCTTGAAGTTTGACGACCAATAAGTCTAGGGAGAGAGAAAGATAGACCCGAGGCACAAAAAAGAGATTAACAAAGAGACTGCCGCGGAGCAGAGCGTCGATACGTCTTTAAATTCTTCAAATATATTGTGCCTATTGGATGCTAACTGCTTTGGGAACACTCGTATATGTGTATATGTAAATTCTTTGCTTATAAGTAGGACGAAAGGACACATCATTCAGTCCACGAAACTGCTTTCAGAGTTATTTATTATCTCTGTCGTAAAAATAGTGTTCGCACATTCCCTCGTGAAGGACACAGTAGCGAGGGCTTACGGCATCCGCGTGGATGCCACGGTCGACGAGACGATCCCGATAACGATAGAAGCGACGCTCTATCAGCTCAGGCGCATCCTTTGGATTCGACCAGAGCCGCTCGGCGGCGGCCCCAGCTCGTGGCCAGATGCGTGACTCCAACGAGTTTTGATCGACCGACTCGCTCCACATGCACACCTCGCCGCCAAGGACCTGCCGCCGATCGCGACTTTTCGGCAGCTTGTTATTGTAGACGGTCCGCCAGGTGTGGTATTCGGTGCTACCGTAGAAGCCATGGTCCAGATACCAGGCATCCCTGGTGGAGACAATGATGCGGTAGCCTCGCTGCAGCAGCATCTTGTTTAGCGGCTCGTGAGAGTCGACCCAGGTCTGGATGATGAACCGATTCTTGGGCAGGTAGTTCTCGATGGCGAGGGGATCCGTCAGGCGGCTGGACCAGAGAATGACCGGCTTGGGCTCTGGAATGCTGGGATACATGCGCCGGTTGATCTCCTCCCAGGCCAGGAGATTGCGCTGATGGAACTGCGCCCAGAGGCGGAAGAAGCTCTTCTCACTGAGGTCGTAGCCCTCGTCCAGCATCTTGTCTCGGATCTGCTTTGTGGTATTCCAGCACGACAGGTACACCTCGTCGCCGCCCATGTGTATGGTCTCCTCCGGTGACCCCATCTCTGCCACCTGGTGGAAGATCTGCTTCAGCACCGTGTACATGTTTTCGTTCATGGGATTCAGTTGGCCGCAAGGTGGAGCCGCGCAGTAGGCCTCCCAGCGAATCCTGTTCAGGCACACGGACAAGTGACCCAGCCCCTCCTCTGGGCCCCACTGCCAGCCGTTGTGGGCGTGCGCAGGCCCATCGATCTCTATGATGATGCGGATGCCCCTGAGGCGGGCGTATTTCATCAGCCGGACGACTTCTTTGTGGGAGTAGGTCTGCGAGCTGGAATAGGCTCCGTAGATCCGCATCTGGGGCACTCGGGTGATCTCCAGCGGGAAGCTGTGAGCGTCCACCACGTGCCAGTGGAGCACATTCATCTTGGAGGCGGCCATGCCGCCGATGGTTTTCCGCACATACGACAGGGGTATGAAGTTCCGTGAAGTGTCCAGCATCAAGCCGCGATGTGCGTAGACTGGACGATCGGAGATGATGACGTCGCTGACCAGCAGCAGGCCACTGGCCACGCTGCCCGTTACCAGATTGCTCACCGTCTCGAAGGCATGCCTCGCTCCGTACACCGTCGTCGCCTGGATGTTCACAACGGTGCCCGCCGCCTCCGTTGTGTTGATGACCAGCTTGTAGTTCTCGTGCGTGCGCCAGTCAAGGACCAGGCTTTCGCTGATCACGTTGGCCTTGACCACGATCTTCGCACTGCTGGCCAGCGTGCAGTCGCGGCGGCACTCTTTGCGCAGATTACCCAAGAACAGGCGTCGTGTCTCGTCCAGGAACTGACTGGTCGCCTCACTGGGCGCCCTCACATCGAAGTGTATCTTCTGGGGATCGAAGTGCACTCGATTATGAGACAGACTGGTCTCCACCGTCGGCATTGGCCAAACGGAGCCGTACTTGCCGCAGGACAGCCGGCAGTCCCGCTGGCTCTCAAAGCGCTCCATTTTGTAGTTTTCCCCTTCCACCATCTCGCTCTCGGTCGTACAGAAGGTTGTCTGGCTGCAGAGCCATTTTGCGCCGCCACCGCGGCCCCGCGCCAACCCAACGCCAAGGACTAGGAAAATCCAGAGAGCGAACATCATTGTATATGTGCGAATGTATGCGCAAAATGCGCCGAAACAGCCGAAAAAATTGTAAATAAAAAAAAGTTTATTTTATATTCCAACAATTTTGAGATTTCAATAGCCTTGTATTAGGTATTTGACTTTAAAAAAGACCTAGCCTTCTGTTTTCTCTTTCCGATGTCGATGGGTGGGATCGAATGCGAAATGGGAATTAAGTAGAGCTGATGCTGAAGCCGAAGAAAAGGGAAGCAAGGGAATGAGTTGATAGTTTGACAGTTTGATATTTAATTTCAATAAAATGGCGTCCCTGCGCCTAGCAGTTAGAGATGGAGAAGATGTTGAGATCAACTTTACAATCTACGAGTGAAAAGGATTCGAAAATTTCCTAGAGGTGATCGGAAAACATCAGAAAGTGGCCGACAACCTTGATGGTTCAGGGTTCCTGGCAAGGGGATGGCTTCCGGCTGCTTACCTGTCTTTTGCCCATGTATTCGCTGGGGAAAACCGTGTACGTTAAATTTTGGCAAGGATGATGAAATAAACAGAACATGCACTGAAAATTGCTTTATTCCAACTGGATGGGCCTGGAAACACCGCAAAAAATTTAACAGAATTTCAGGGGGGCAAGGGGGTTCCACTTAATGCAAATAAAATGTATCGCAGCGTTGACAAGCCTCTCGCAAGCACAAGAAAAAGAACTGCAGAAATGGGAATGTCAGGAATCGAGTGTAAAAAGCTCGAATGAAACATTTAAGTGAAATCGCGTTCGTCTGTGAATGCGTGTTAAATACAGAAAAACTAATGAATGAGAATTTATTCAATCAAGTCGTAAAAACATATCGAAATCACGATTATAAACCAAATTGCTGAACGGGCATTTCCATGATGTCGCACACGACGGTCGTATGAATAAATAAAACGGATACTAGCTCTCAATTATACCTGTAATTGGGCACTTTTCGTTTTCAAGATACTCATTCGCACATGGAAAAAGAGTGTGACATTCGCACGGAAAAAAAAACAGAAGGGGTTTTTACGGCCAACGGTTCAAAGACCGATTTCAGCACAACCTGAGGCAATCCTTCGATAAGACTAATTTCAGAAAGTTGTGCCAATGTTGCTTTACGCAGCCCAATATTAGCCAATGAATCTTTGGCCCCAATCCCATTAGCTATGTTGTAATCAATTTGAAAATGATACCGGAACAGAGTTCTATGCAAATTTCAAGGGTGGCCCTAGCAGCGGCTCAAAATATTTGTTTGTTAAATTACACAAATGGGTAAAATTCGCGAAAAGCGATTTTTAAAATTGCCCAAATTGATATAAATCAATATAAAATCTAATATATTTTCAGGAGATTTTTTTTTGACTATTTCGTTATTACTTGATTGAGGATTCGTTGGTCGTTAATGTCCCTATTTGCTGGATCCGGCATCCGACAGTGTGGGGACGGATGTAAAATATTTGATTGCCTTGTTCTTCACTCATAATATGTTTGCCACCATACAGTGGGGCTACAATGGACCTAAATTGGGGCCACAGTGGAGCCACAGTGAGGCCACAGTGGGGCCACAGCGTCGCCACACCTTGGCAAGAAAGAGTACGATATTAATCCCGAACTATTCAAAAAATAGCTCCAGTACAGCAATAATATATTTAGTTAGAAGTCGACTGTTTTCGACATTGCTTATTTCATCTTTTAAGGTGTGGTCCTTTATTTTTGTGGATAATCTTCTTGGCCCTCAGACCACACTGTGCACGGGAAAGACAGTGAGAAAGCATGTGTTGCAAGTACGAGCAGCCACTCATGTGGTTGCAAGTACTCTTACTCGTAGTTTGCGGTGGTGCGGGAGGCGGTTTGTTTCAGATTCATCCATGTTTTGCAGGTTGTACGAAATGCCGCAACATTTTATTACGGTTAAGCATGCATTCATTATGTCTGCTTGTAGCTCTGGCTGCCCTGTCCGCCTCCCTGCCACTGTGTCATTCTGCCCCATGCCACGGAGACAAATGAGTGGCAGGCGAGGATGGACTCCAGCTGGTGGAGAGGGAGAGGAGAGACCGAAATACGTGATGGGCCACTCATTCTTGTCCGCACCGTCCAGCTCATTTGGTGCTCGACTAATCGCAAATAACACACATCGATTACAGGAACAATCCTCGGAAGGCGTTGTCGGCGAGGTGAGAGGTGGCGGTCGAGGGGGAGGGGGAGGGGGAGGGGGATAAAGCCAAGACTGGAACAGAAACAGAAACAATTAGCACGGACCCGGACATAATTGGCGTGCAGTTACAGAGGCTGATTAAAGAAGCAATCATAAAATTAAGACCCATAATCCCGTGCAATTTGGACAAACACACGCAAACGGAATGGAACTAGGACTTGGACTAGGACTTGGACTGGGCACTGGGCAACGGGCAACGGGCACTGGGGACCACGAACGGACAAAGTGGTGGAAGAAAGAGCATAGGAATACGAAGCCCAGTGGAAGGAAGCTAATAACCAAAGCCAGCAGCAGCAGAGGGAAAAGCAGAGGGACCACACAAAAATCACTTTACACGCTCCAAATACAAAACAAGCAATAAAGTTACAATCAATATTCCGACCCTGGAATACCCGATAAATTTCAACAAATATAGCTATGGCAAGAGAGGAGAGATATCTGGGAAAGTATCTTTAAAGTGTGAATGCCAGAGCTTGGAATGCGAGATGCATTCAAATATACTCGTATACCAGCTTTAAGAGCTTATGGTCCAGAGTATATACTCGTAATGTGAGCGTTGCATGCCATCTCACGGTGACAATATACCCTTGAACTCTGCAAGTACTGGGTACTGTACGGAATGTGTGTGCGTGAGCGTGTGCGTGTGTCTGGACTGCATTCCGTTAAGGAGCAGGAGCAGGAGCAGGAGAAGGAGAAGGAGAAGCGGCGTGAGGAAGAGAAGTTAAGCTTCGGGTACGTGCGGCGATTTGTGTGCTCGGGCAGTGCCATGCCACAAGAGGTAAGGTAAGGGCAGTGGCAGGGGCAGGGACCTAAGGAGTAGCTGGCAGGACAACACAAGAGCAATATGAAACCTTCATTAGCGAGAGGCGGTGGGAAGGACGGGCAGGGCACTATTGCACTGGGCCCCCAGCCACAACGGATTGAAAATGCTTCCGGCCATACAAATTGTACATGAAACGTGAGAAATTAATTTTCAAGGTGGCCACGCAGCAGCAGCATCACCGTCCTGGTCCTGGTCACCTCCCCTGCTCGTGGTTCTCCCCTCCGCGTGACTTGTGAGCCCCAAGGTGCTGACCAGGAATTGCCTAACTTTTAGCCTAGACGTCGAAACCGAAACGGAAACCAAGAAGTTTATCAGTCTGTTGAGCTTTCTGGCACAAGATCGAGGCAGCATCGAAACCGAAACGGAACCCAAGAAGTTCATCAGCCTGTTGGGGCACTACTCATCGTTCGGCAGTTCCTGGGGAGTCATGGTGGGGGTTTTCGCTCTCTCTCGCTCTCGGGCTCTCTCTATATCTTGATATACATATGTACATACATATGTATGCAAAGCAATGTCAAAATTCAATTTAATGCTGCCGAAACGAAAATCTGTCAGCTTGCAGCACAAATACGGTCAAAGCCAAGCGCACACACACACACACACACTCAAACACACACACACACACAAATAGAAAAGGAGTTGGAGACAGCCACAAAGTGACGCTCACATACACAGAGGATATATGGATACCTCCTGTGACAAGACACACACAAAAGCCAAAGCAGGATGCTTGCGCCTGTCAGCGGCAATTGTGGCTGATTTGCGCTTTTTATACCGTATCAGAGAGTACTACGATTCGATCAGGATGTTCGTTTCTAGTAACTAGTCCTTCCATTTTCTGCAAAAAGTGCCACAATATCAGAGGAAGGCGTAGGACAAAGCTGTGGAAGGATAGGTAATGTTTTATAAAATAATTCAATTAATCTTTAATAATTTGTACATATGTTACCTGCTGACCCTTAAAGCCATTTGCCACAGTATTGAGAACTATTTATATTGCCCCGAGCGAATTGAATGTTCGATGGTAATTGGTTCTGATGGTGTCTCAATTTCAGGTAGTTGCATGGTGTCCGATGCACAATACATACCATCAAGCTCGTGTTTGAATTTGTGCGCATGAGAGTGGCAATTACGTACCGGGCCTCTTGTTTCCGTTCTAGTTGTCATTGTTGATTTCGTTCTTCTTGTGGCTCTTATGATTGAGATTTGCACGACATGCTCACACGCGCATTTTCGTTATCTTGTTGGATTCCTTCGTCTGTTCCGTCTCCTCGTCTATTGTAAATGGATCATCAAAACTCAAAAAATCTAAAAATGAAAATGAGAAACTATGGATTATCAAGAGTATTTAAGGTTCGGCTTGTTCTCAAATGCGTGTCTTTCCTTCTTGTTCTTGAATGGGACAGGACGAGGAATAGTGTGTGAGAGAGAGAGAGTGGGGGCAAAGATAAACGCAACGGCAAGCGATGTGGGTGTGGATGTAGGAGGAGTAGGAGGCACACATCGCATAACATTCCAAAGCATTTGATAAACGGCGACGCTTTCCAGTATGTCCTTTAAGTGTCCGTGTGTGAGGTATTGTTGAAAGGGTCGTCCACAGTTCGTATCCGTTGCGCTGTGACGTTGACAAGTCAGACGATTTCTCAAAAGATGCATTCACGCAAGCCGGCAAAAAATTAAGCAGAGAAATCGCACTGCCCTGAGAAGTGTGCGGATAACTCTGTGGCTTCCACTCCACTCGACTCTAGCTGCGGTATGCACCTGCTGTTCCATTCGCATTCCATTGGCAGCTGTCAACATCATTGGATTCCATAGGAGATTATCCGACAACACTTGCATTTGACAGAGTTGTTTTCAGAGGTCTTAATAACTATTAGCGATTTATTTTGAATCAATTTGTTGTTGTATTTGTTGAATATGCAGCGGAAAAACATGTAAATTAAAAAATCATGCAAAAACTTTTTATTTACGATTTTTTTAAA